GCTGACACAAATAAACAGACTTGGGCAGGCATGTCACATCTAATTCAGCTGTTAATAGTTTATGTATCTGGTTCATTCAGAAATCAGTTATTGTGTGCTCTTAACTATACCTGCTTCAAGTACCACTTGTGGAAACATGAGCCTTCAGAACTGCCCTGCCTGCAAAGGCTTCTATATTTTGGTAGAGAAGACCCACATGCATAAGAAAGGCATATGCATGTCTGACCTTTCCATTGAAGTGAATGGAGAAACCCTCTTGCAAATGAGTTTCCTATATGCAAAAGAGCCAAATATTCCATTTTTACTCTTACCCCCAACATGCCTATTGGATAGTCATGCTTGGTTACTTCCATTCACATCATACAGGTAGTCCTATTGCAATAACCTAGCCTGTGTGTCATCATTTCTAATGGAGTGAGAAAAAGGCAATGAGTGATGTTCACTTTACATATACTCAAGAATAGACCCATTAAATCAATGGGCATATAAGTTAATTAACTCCACTGAGTTCAATGGGTCTAATGAGAAATGTTGGCTAATGCCATATATATTTAAAAGCATTACACATGTATTGTGTTTTCCATTTTCCAGCAAAATAAATGTACTTGTAAAATATGATATGAAATAGGCATGTCTTAATGATCAAAATGAAAAATAACTTATTTGTATACAGATACACATTTTAGAGCTATTTCCAGCAAGGCTTGTCTTTTCACAAACTTTCCAATATCACATAGGAAAAAAAGAAATGAAAGATCATCTTCAAGCATACTTCTCTCTCTCTCAAAATGTAAATTTGAAAATCTAGTAAAGATACCTATGCCATAATGGCACTTCGCATTTATCTTCAGTTATTAGAGGAAGAATGTTTTGAATCGGTTAAATAAAGCCTTGTTTTCCCAACTTAATGCAACATCTAGTGTTTAAGACAGACAAAATCTGAAGAGTCCAGATGTGTGTCCTTGACTAAGCAGCCGCCTTTGAACGTTTCACCTCATTTTAACCCTTGAAAGGCTGGGGAATGGGAAGCCATTTTTCTACAGTATATGTAAGCTGATTTTCATAAATATGTAAAATACGTGGTGTAAAATACATGCTACAACTGAACTGAGGTTGCTAAGAAAACAAGTCTGGTTTCCCCAGAGATGTTCTAGACTGAGTTGGCCACACTCCTCATATTTCTGTCCCATAATTCTAAAGTTTTGCTGAGGGTGAGATTTTTTGATATGTAAGCCCAGAGGCTGGACTTCACAACAAGTGTTTATGTGTTAGTAAAGAAGAAAGGAACCCATCAAATTATTTTTGTCCTATGCCACAATAATATTTTGCTGGGAGGAAAACTGACTTTTCCTATTTCTCAACTTCAGCCCATTTTTCTTCTGGCCTTATTTGCCTCTCTTCTGTCGAGCACCTAAATATTTCTTAATTGAACCGCTCATCCTGCGCCCCTCTTATAGCTGTTTAATAGATTAACTCATCTGTGCCAGCTTCAAATTTCAGATTAAAATTCCTTCATCCCGAAGGCAGCATTATCAGGTTGTTGGAGGCTGTTTTCAAACCTTGGTTTTGAATAGCAGCGGCTCTGCATTAATTTAACCACTAAGCTAATAAGTAGGTTTCGTTTTGTTATGCTAAGCTTTATTGCTTTTCTTTTGATCAGAATGGTGTTGTTGAGCAAAGCAGCAGACAAGGCATTCTTTGATGAGGGAATTAGTGCTCTATTCTTCCTCTATTATTCATAGCACAGTGGAATATGTAAGTACCTGAGGGTGTCAAAGGAGAGCAGGCTCTATTGCAAAGTGTTCGCCTTGTTTCTCTCAATAGCTGACTATGAGATGATAAACTGCTTAATACACTGCACTAATTGGATGAGAGCAAAAAGAGATGGGAATTAAGGCAAGGCAAAAAGAGAAAGTGCTACCAGCCTTCATTCACTCTTTCACCACTTTAACAGCGCCAAAGGAGGCACAAGCTTTCTATAAGCAGACTAGAGGTTTTGTGCAGAGATAAAATGAACCTGTTAGTGGATTCAAGTAATACACTAATTATTGCACAGTATAAATACCACTACTGGTTTTATAACATGAAGGTAAACTTCTTTTGAGACGGTTATAGGATTGCTTGGCAGTAGTATAGATCCTAATAAGGGACCAGAGTAATAACCCCCCTGGATTAACAAAATTGCTGCTTGCAGAAGTATGATTCCGGCTTTTACAAAGATTTCTGCCGAATGAATAAAAATGACTGAGTGACATTTCTTAATGTGTAATGGATTGATAATGATTCCCTTTTCTTTAAAGTAAAATATGCACTTCAAACTCTACTGTTAATCATGTCCAGGGGCAAATGTTCTTTTTCCATAAAAATATTTTTGTACCTATGGTTTTTTTTACACTCCAAAATATATATGTGTATAAGATGCTGTCAGTTAAATGTATGGTTATTTGGAAGAACTGCAGTGGGTTCATAAAAACAAACATGCTGAAGAGCCCACCGTGTGTGAGTGTGAACTGAGGGGAGGAGAATCCACCTGCCAGGCCTTTGCCATCCTATCTCAGAAGTCTTCCAGTAGAGTCATCTTGTGGAAACATCAGCCCACATTCCTCCTCTGGTGGGTAAACTGGACTCTCTTACAGACTAGAGAAGCCTGGGTGCATTGTGATCTAGTAACCTCAACTTTAGATTCCCCCTTGCGCATTAGCACAGTTGTTAGGTTGGGATGCGTAATGTATGTCTATATAAAGCCAGTTTCATCATACAAAATTTGAGTGAACATCCCATGCACAGAATTTTGCAGGATGCTCTGTAGTTGAATGCAGTCCCACCCATATTCAGGGATGGATTGTTCTTAGCTAGTCCACCAGATCAACGAATGTGAAACAGTACTGCCACATCCACTCCTCACGGCTGAAGAAAACAATACCGTGATTAGGAGCCACTCCTGCTGTTTGCAGCCCAAGATGCTGCCTCGTGTGAGGGGGGGGGGGATGCACCTCCCACAGGATGTTGAAGAAAAAGGGCGCGGGGAGGGTTCAATTTGAGGTTTCTAGCCAGCCTGGTCCAGCTTCGGCTGTAATTTTGTTATGCTTAAACAGAAGAAGTGAAATGAGGGTTCGGGTTCGAGGGAAGGCTTGGCTGCGGGGGAGCCTCCCTCACTTCTTTGGCGCCAAAGGCGGCTTCCATTAATGAGCAGATCTTCACAGCTGGATGAAAACGAGAACACCTCAGCCATCCGCCAGGCGAGCTTCTGGTGGTGGGTCCCGTCCTTTTTCCCCCCAGGGCAGCCCAGCTTTCAGGGAAGGAAAAGGTCGTAGGCTTCTGGAGCTGCTTTGAGGCCTTGTCAGGCGTGCTATCCCACCCCCACCTCTTAAATATATATATATATTTATATGTATAGGGGAGCTCGCAGGAAGTCCGGGGCTCCCTTGAAAAGAAAAAGCCCGCGCGAGCGAGCAAGCAAGAGAGAAATCGCCGTCGCCCAAGCGCCCCCCGACCCAGCTGGGAAGCCTAAATAGGGGGCCTTTCGCTTGGGGTTTGTTTGCAGCCGCCGAATGACACGGGATTAGGAGGTTTGTAAACCAGGGGCGAGGGGGGCTTTCAATGGCCCGGCGATGTAATCCTCGGAGGTAATTTCACGCGATTTGCTTCTGCTCCATGGCAGGGTCAACTGAGAGGGGACGAGAAACGGCTCGCCAAAGGAGGGATCAGGCGGCCGGCGGAGAAGGGGGCGCGGGCGCGCAGGAGAGCCCGGCAGCAGCTGCCTCCGCCGCTCAGCGCCAAATCCGAGGCGCAGAGAGAGAGAGAGAGAGGAAGGGAAGGAGGGAGGGAGGGAGCAGACAGACAGGGAGAGAGACTCGTCGGTGCGCACACCAAAGCAGCAACGCGCCCCGGACCTGGCTTTCTTTTTCCAAGCCGGAAGCCAAGGCCTTGGCGAGCCGCCGTTGCCAGGCCTCGTCCCAGTCCCAGCCCCAGCTCGCCTGCAGGAGGGAGGCTTGGACGCCGGGGATCTCGCCCACCAGTCGAGAAGCGATCCGGTGGAAGAGCGCACCATCGCCACCAGCTCCGCCTGGCAAACCCACCCCCAACCTAGGTGGTCCGATGGTGGTACAGGATACCACCGAGGCTCCCACCCTCTGGTCAAGCACGATCTCCCTCTCTCTCTTTCACCTTCTCTGGCTGGAGCAGCGGAGTTGCAGCACCTTCCCTGTCCCTTCCCCCGCCCGCCCGCTTCTCTGGAAATGGCCATGAAAAGACAGCTGCTCGCCTTGACCCAGTAAAGAGGACGCCACATGCAAAGCCAGTGTGCAACATTCAGGATTCCTGTTGCTTTAGGCAGCGGGAAAGAAAAGAGAGGCGGAGGCGAGTCGCCTTATCTGGTCAGATAAGGAACCAAACCATCTTGGCCATCAAAAGAATGAAACGGCGCAGATGCGCTACCGCCACCCCCTTTTTTGTACAGAGAGATCCTGCGCGCTTTTACTCGGAAGTCAGTCCCGTGTTCCATGAGGATTACTTTCAGGGTAGAGGGCCCAGCACTGCAGCTTTACAGCACAAAATTCTGCTCCCGGAGGTTTGCTCCCAGTCTAAGTGTGCACAGGATGAGCAGCCTTGCAGTGCCACCCTATGTATGTTTACTCATCAGTCAGTCTCCTCTGTTGTCATTCCCTGGGAAATGGACATAGGCTACAATCCTACACCCAGAAAGCCCCAATGAGCTCAGTGGGATTGAATTCCCAGTAGATACGGAAAAGATTTGTGCTGCCAACCTGTTACCTGCCCACAGCTGTCAGCCTGTGCCTAGGCCAGTTTACCACATCCTGGTGCTCTCCAGATATTTTGGACTACAGTTCCCATGAGGGCACCAGGTTGGGAAAGGGGGAGTGTCTTTTAACATTAAAACCAATTTGGGATAGGGGAAAAATAATCTTGCCTAGAAAGCTTGTGAAAGTAATAAAATCTTTTCATTTTTTCCGTTTACATATCTTTTTAGGCATCTATCAGACAAATATCTGTAAAGCTGGAGAGTTCAATCAAGTCCTTGGTACCCTAGCCCTCCCCCACCTTGGTGATGAAGCACAATTTACTTCCCATGACGCTGCATCTCCAGGTATCTTTTCAAATTCTTCATAAATGTATATATATATATTTTATTTTCTATGGGTGACACTTTTCCACTTGGTCGCAAGGGAAAGTGAGAGCAATAACAACATTACACAAAAGCACTGTACCGACGCCCTGTCTCTCTCTTTTTTCGACTCTCTTTCCCTTTCTCTCTCTCTCTCTCTGGTTTCAGGAACCTCTACAGTTAATAAGTTAAATAAAGGGTTTGTACATAAATATTTGTCTAGGGACCCTATGATATCTACAACACAGTAAGAATCTACAGAAATGACAAACTTGTACAAACACTACACGGAGTGCAATTGTTATATAACATTTCAAATATACAAAGCTCTGGGTTGTTGTGTTTCTTTTTTTCTTTTTTTGCTTTTTCTTATTTTTTTTAATAACAATGGTATGTACAGAGCATCACAGTTTAGTGACTTCTTTTTTTTAAAACAGTCCATATTCTAGCACTGTTATTTTTCCCTTTGGTTTGCTATAAAACCCTTGGTTGGTGTGATGATAGGAGGACCCCTCCACACACAGACAAAAAGAAAAGAAAAGAAAAGAAAAAAGACCAGACTCTCTCCCCGATCCCACCCCGCTCCCCTTTTGCCTTATTAAGTGCACCGGTTCGTTTTAACACAGCATCGCATCATTGGCTTCCTTTTGGCCTGGCCCAAGCAGCATCCTTGGTTTCGACGTCCTCCCAAAGCTCCTCTTAAGATCGGCCCAGGGTGACATGACTAGATGTGGCGAAGGGAGAGAGAGGGGCGTGGGCTGCGCCGCCACGTCGTACCTGCCCACGCGCCCCGCTCCGAAAGGTCCTCTCTCCTTTCTCCTCCTTGGGATGTACTTGGGTGTTCAAGAAACGGAATGACATTGGGGAAGGGGGGGTGCGGGTGCGTGGGGTAGTCCCAGCCAAGGAGCTTCTGCTGAATGGCCCGAGGGAAGCATGAAAAGCAGGAGCCTGGCTTGCTCCGAGTACCGAACCGGAGGAGAAGCTCTCCGCCGCGGATCCTCGGTGTCTCTTTGTATGTGTCTGTCTGCTTCTCGCTCTCCCGTTTTGGTCTTGGGTTTCGCTCCTCCGCCAGGCGATCTCTGGCCGGCCTCGCCCCGCCCCGTCGGGGCTGCTTAGCACACCTCTTTGCCCGTGCTGTTCCCGGGGAGGATGTTGAGCTGCGTCAACTGCGCCGCGTGCTCCTTGGCCTTCAACCGCAGCGCCGCGATGCTGGAGGCCCGCCGGTCCGCCGCCGCCGTGGCCGGATCCGAGAGGCCGCCCGACTGCACGGCGCTCTCCACGCTCGGGGCCGGCTGGCGCAGCAGGGCGGCCGCGGTGGATGCGCTCGTCAGCGGGGCCATGGTGGAGAAGAGCCTGCAAGCCAAGAGGACACAGGCCGGGCGGTCAGGGCCGAGCTGACAGTACGAGGCCCACTCCGCGCGGGCGAGGGAGTGGCGACCCGGCGAAACCCCCAGAACCCCGTGTCACTAAAAAAGCGCGCCTGCATTGCATCATCCGCGTCAGGCTGCTTTGAAAGCGGGCCTGCTGGACTCCAGCTCCCATCAGGCCCAGGGAGTGTGGCTCATGGGCGTTGTAGTCCATTCAAGGGCAAACCCACTTTCAAAGGCGAGGAAACAGGCCTCCGGAGGACTCTCAACTTCCGCTTATACAATTTAAGGCGGAGAAAGCCCAACCCGCGACCCTCCGCATACAGTTGAGACTACAATTCCCACTACTACTTCTGAGCCGTTGCCGGGGGGCTCATGGGCTTTGTCGTTCCACAACTTTATGGGGAGCGTCAAGTTGGCTACCCCAGAATTACAGGGCTGCGAGTGAAAGAGTGGCCAATCCCGACCCGGGCAAATGTTGCAACAGCCGCCTGCTCTTTTATGTATTTGATCAGTGCATTTATACCGCCCTTCACCCTGTTTGGATCCCGGGGCGGTGTGCAAAACAACGTCCCGCCTCTGTTCCCTCCCGGGAACAGTTCGAATCCCGGGTTTTCCAAGTTTAAGGTCTGGCCCGTTTCTACTCGCGGCCCTTCTCGGGACAGCATAAGCCAGGCGGGGTTGGAAGAGAAACGCCCAGTCAACGAGATTGTCTGTAAGGCGCCTAACCCTCTCCCATTTGCTAGTGACAGCAGTCGCTGGCAGCCGACGCTTGAGCCTGCGACTTATACTGTGATCAGAGAGAATAATTATTTTTTTAAAAACTAGTGCTAATAATAAATAGTAGTAACAATCGAGACTTTTAGGTGATGGCTTTTCTCCCCGCTCAAGTTTCCCTCTCCTCTCCCGCCACTTTCATCTTCCCCAAGCTACAGCGGTGGTTCTTTACGCTGCCTCCGCGGGCTCTTTCCCTTGTCCTTCACGTTCGCTTCTCGGGCGCCCCTCCCCTTGCCCTTCCGATGTCTATACTTTCCTCGGCCCGCCTTATTAGAGGTCCTGGATGCCCGAAGCGGTGTCTGCCGCTCGGCTCCTTCGCGGGGCGGATGCCCACGCCCAGCAGGGCGCGCCGTCCCTGTGGATTTCCGCACAGTGGAATGCCAATTATTCTCCGGCAACCCTAGCATCCCGGCTCAATGACACAATCTTGGAAATGCCTTCCCCTCTAGTTTTCCTTCCTTACCTCTCCCCGGAGCAGCCGCTCTGAAGAGAGCAACTGACCCCCTTGACTGGCACGTCGAGATATACAGACTCTCCATTAACCAAGGAGGTGATTATTGACATCATCACGGCTAGGAATTGAACTGTGGGCCTGGAAGGCAACAGGGGCTACATACTAAGCCCGGAGCCGCCTAAGCTCCCGGACTGCGGGCTGGCTGGCTGGCGCGGGGAGGGCCTTGGGGAGGATTACTTGGGCGCGGGGAGGGGGGGTTCCCCGACTCTCTGCTCCTGAAATTCTTCGCGCAGCTCAGCCCTGAAGGGGGACGGTCTGCATCTTGCTGATCTCTAATAGGCTACGATTTCCGAGGGTGTTTTTCTTTAAAAAAATACAAATAGCAAAACGGGGAACCCTCTATGCACAGTGGCTTGGCTTTTCAGAAGGCAGTTTCTATGGAAGGTGAAACGCTTTCCTAAAAACTGCATTTTAAGAGCAAGATGGAAGCGCGAGGAGGAAAGTCTCTGCTTTCCTCTTCTGCTCCCTTCACTACTTCCTCGCTCTCTTTTTTCGTCGCCTGCCTATTTTGATCGCACAGCCTATTAGCCAGGCAGTTTAGTAAGCATTTTACAACTCATTTTTCAATCTGATGGGGGGCGCAAGGGGAGGTAGCGCAAGGGCTCCGGCTGATGCAGCCAGAGAGAAGCGCTCCAAGTGTAGAATCACGGCGGCAAGTAGGGGGCGTGACAGCCCCGCAGCCGCCTGCCTGCCTTGAGGGAAATTGAGTCACTCGGGGGCTCAGGGGAAAGGCAGAAACGCTTTCCTTGTAGCTGGGCGGCTCTCGCGTTCCCCCACTACACAAAACTAAATTTTACTTGGATTTTCCCCAACCCTCCTCCAACACATAATTGTGTTAAGTGGCGTCTCGCCTGCGATGAATCTATCCCTTCTTTGTTCTCATCAGTAGAGACATCACTGCAGTTCTTTTGCTCTTCCATTTTCAACCTCTCTCCGGCTTCCATAAATCCCGACAATGCTTTTTTGTCTCTTTATAATTAGCTATTGACTTTTTTAAATTAATTGTTTGCTTATTGTTTAAAGAAAGGTAGCTGCAGTGTCGTTTATTTTATTTTATCCTTGACTAACAAGCCTGGTTTTCCGTTCAGGTGTAAACTAAACAGGCTATATCTCTAGTCACTGCTGTGACTTTTCGGTGGATTTAAGTTGTCTTTATTCATTTTTTAAATCCCTTTCTCGATTTCATTTTATGCCTTTCTGTGACTAGTGTGGGATCAAATATCAACAAAGATGAAAGGTAAAATGAATGTGTTAAAAAGCACGTAGACCATTTTAAAAGTTAAGATTATAATAAACGGACTGTCATCCTATCACCTAAATAATGCTATGTGGCCAAGCTATCTAGCTAGAAGAAAATCTTACGAGTACCTTCCAGCCAATGTGCTTAAGATCATGGTCTAAATGCAAATGTCAGTGACTGGCCTTTTCCTTTAAAGTTATCTCTATCCAATTAGGGAACAGGAGGGTACCATGAGCTTTGCACACATTATTATTATTATTATTATTATTATTATTATTATTATTCCCAACTCATACGAATTCCATATTCTAAAGACTGGGGAGCTATACTTGCAACCCAGAAGCAAAGCGACTGAACTATTGCATCCTGTCCAGGCATGGACATCTTTAGGTCATTGTTGTCAGCACAAGGAGGGAACCTCTCCAGCGCCACCAAGCCCATAAGTGCAGGAGTTAGGCCCAGCGAACACTGAAAGGAACTTCTGAAGGTTTGAGCAGGAAGCGGCTCAGGTCCCTTGAAGTTCTGAAGCAGAAAAAGTTCCACCACTCCTGCGCTAGGTCTAGAAAATGGCCAGACAGAGCTTGCTGGATGAGGCCAATGAATGGCCAATGATCTAGTCCTGTGGGAGACAGAGCCACTCTCCCTTCCCATGCCTTCAGAAGCAGCGCTGCACCTTCACGCGCGGGGCCCTCAGCGCACAACCCGCGCCCAAATCTATATAATACCAGGCAGGCCAAGATTTGCCTTCGCCATTCCCACCCTCAGGATTCCCTTGAGGCCCCGCCCACTTCGACACCGAAGCGTGCCTTACGCATGCGTACTCGGGAGGAAGCCCCGCCGCGGCACGTGCGCGCGTCGGTAACGGTCTAGTTGACAGCGTGGGGGGGGGGGAGGTTTAGGCCGCGCCTGCTTCAAGTTTACCTGCCGAAGGCGGGGCTGATGAAGGCCGGGTGTCGGAACACGGCCGCTCCCAGGAAAGTGCTGAGGCCTAGCGGGGTCCCGCCGGGGGGCAGAGCTGCCGAGCCGGGAGGAGGAGGCGGCAGGCTGGGGAAGGCGGCGGCGGCTGCAGCGGCTGCGGCGGCGGCCGTCCAGGCGGAGTCGAGAGCTGGGTGGTGAGGAGGGAAAGGACTAGCATCAAGGTAGGGACTGAGCGGGTGAGACGCCGACAGGGGCCCAGGGAAAGGCAGGCCGGGCGGGTGGCTCTGGGCGCCGGCCTTTTCCCTCTTCCGCCATTTGGCTCTCCGGTTCTGGAACCAGACCTGGAAGCCAAAACATAAAACAAGGGGGTGGGGAGGGGGTTCAAGGCGGTTAGTCAAGCGCGGCCCTCGCGGCTCCTCGGCAGCCCAGAGACGACGACGACGACGCCTCCTCTTCCCCCTCCTCCTCCTCAGGGAAGGCCCAGCGCTCGCTTCGGCGCCAAGGCCGTCGGGGGACCTGGGCCTAAGCGCAGCGCACATCTTCGGGCTTCCGTGGCGGTTCTGGAGCAGGCATCGTCTGAAACTACCCAGCGCTCCTGCGCAGGGAGAGGCCCATAGAGGAAAGGGGACCAAGGGGAAAGGGAAGCAAGGGCCTCTGGCTTGGCAAAAGTGCGCCCACCTCTCTGCGCCCAGACTCCATTTTGCCTTTCCTCCATGTCCTTCGCGCCTGCCAGATCGGTGGGCGAGGATGTGGAAGCAAATGGCTTGGGCAGAAGGGTGGGAAGTTTCACTGCTGAGCATGCAGACCCCAAATGGGACAGAACTACGTGACAGTGACATCACAAATCAGTTTTCTCCCCGTCTTCCTTAGTGACCCCCTCACGGTAGAAATTTGGATGGCAAGCTCCTCGCTGGCAGAGACCTGCCTCTCCCCCCCCCCCGTCCCTGGGTATCTGTAAAAGCGCCATGCAAATAGATGGTGCCCTATTGGAAATAAAGACAATAATTAAACGCATCTCGTTTGGCTCATATCTGGTAGTGACCTTAAAGTGGATCCAGCCCTTGGCCTGGCCAAGGCAGGCTTAATATAGATCTATTTATTCTTAACGGGAGTGATCGATCAGCTTGAGCAGCCTCTGACTAGGCTGGGCTTCCTGGGCTACAGGTAGAAACACACGCAACAGCTTCTTCTTAAGCGGCTGCCTTTCTGCAAGACGCACCTTCATAATACATAGTACAACCAATGCGACTGCATTCAAGCAACCTCGCCTAATGTTCTCCTATTTTCTTCAAAAGCTTCCACGTATACAGCCTTTTCAGCGGGTTCTCCCCCCCCCTTACACACCCCGCCTTTTCTCAACTACACTGTTTGACAGACAGTTGAATGTTTTCGCCAGCCACACACGCTAAACATCATGTTTTCTTTTATGACAATTTTAAACCCATGCCTTCTTAGTGGCACTTAAAAGGCTCTAACGCTAATTTCCCAGTCCGTGCAAATTATTTTTCATTATTATTATTGTGGTTATTATTACGCCATCTCCGCAGCCACCCACACTCAGAGCCGCCACCAGAGCCGTTCTCGGGGAGAACGCTCACATTTTGCAAAGAGCTCTGGTCTTTTCAGCGGGGGGAGATGAAAAGCAAAAGGGGCAGCAATAAACAAGCTTCCCTCCCCTTTCCTAGTTATTAATAAAAACAGGGAGGGGTTCTCTCTATATTCATATCAGCCATCGACATCTTTCTCCAGTTTTGGAGCCAAAGCGCTGAAATACTACCGAAAATATATCCCTCTCCAAATTTGGAAAGGAATAAAAACGGGAGGGCTACTTTCTAAAATCTAAACAGATTGACAATGCAACCCCATAGGTGTATGCTCAGAAGTAAATCTCACCGAGTTCAATGGGATTTACTCCCATGTGAGGATATATAATAGGATTGCAGCCTCGGCTTCCATAGGAGGCAATTGTTTGGAAATAGGTTGGGGGAAAATGAGAAAGAGAGCCACATATTCGGGGGGAGGGGGGCAGGGAGACCGGGACCATCTTCTCGTTTGTGTTGCTCCACTCGCCTCTAGGAAGGTCCCAGCGCAGCCAGCCTAGGAACTGCGGCTCAAGGCAACGGCAAACGTGGCGTCTCGGCGCGTCTTTTCCGTTTCCAACTCAATTAGCAACTTGGCCCCACTGCAAATTCCCCCTCTCTTATTGAATTAATAAGTTTGAGTACACCCAAAGGTAAACCGAGGGGCTCTAATAATTCATATTCCCCTTAATTACATCTTCTCCACTGAATAGGGAGGGAAGGGAGGGCGAGAAAGAAAAGGGGGGTTGTCTCTGTCTCTCTCTTAGTTATTTAACTTTCCCACGACTCATTCCCCTGAGCTGAAAATCCTGATTTGCTGTCACATCTCTGTTTGACAATGGAGAAATGTGTCAACAGAAAGGAGGGGACCGGGCTCTTCATTAGCCCCTCTAATGCGAGAAGCTGTTGTGTATTAAATGAGCCATATGGAATTTATGATGCTTTCGCCGCGCCTGACTTTCAGTGTAAAGTGATTTGTGCGGAGGCAAAAGGCCGCCGCCATCTGTCGCGGGGTTGGCCGAAGAAGGGCGAGTGGAGCGCCTGGCTCTCCGCGCTGCGTAGCCTCCAGGCTCGGGGTGGGGGAGCAAACACCTTCTAATAGCATTGCACCGCCGAGCCAAAAACAAAATCGAGGAAATCAAATAGCATTAGCTGACTCTCTTCGGGCCAAGCGGAGAGGAAACCAAACAGCCCCTCCCTGTTTGCTCGAGCGCCAAAGTGCCCTTTGATGGTGGCCCGATGGGCCATTTGAGAGCGCAGGCAAATACCTGCTTCTCGCTGCGTTGGGCTGACAACCACAGCTAGTTCTTTCATCGGGGTGGGGGTGGAAAGGGGGCAGAAGGAAAGCTGCTGGGGGCTTGCTCCCCCCCCGTACAGAGCCGGAACGAAATTAACTGGTTTCAACGAGGGAAAGGGCAGACTGGCACCCATCACCCAGCGTTTGGTCTTAATTTGGGGGTGTGGGGGGAGGAGAGAAGGAGCGAGCGCCTGTTTGGGTTCAAGGGTCTTAAACAATATTTCCTCTCCCTCCCCACCTGCGGGGACCCCAAGCCCGCCGAGAGAGCGCTCCCAGTCCCCATCGCAGCTGCCCCTGGACTCACCTGCACTCTGGCTTCGGTCAGATCCAGGCGCATCGCCAGCTCCTCCCTGGGAGGGAAACAAGCACAACAAGACACACGCTCAGGTGAGGCCCTGTGAAGCGGGGTAGCGGGAGAGAAAGGGTCCCGCGGCTCACCGCCTTGGTGAAGGCTACTACTCCTCCTTCCTTCTTTGCCCATATAGGGGAGAGCCATCCACATGCAAAGTCCCAAACAAGGCCAGTTTCCTACCCTTCGCTCCAGTTCCTACTGGCACTGACGCTGGATCGCCCCGGAATGCCCCCAATACCCCCACTCCCCGCAAAAAAATTAATATCCCAAACCAGGAAGCGTTAGCTTGAAATCGGGTGCACAAAGCAGACTAGAAAAAAACACCTCCCAAGTTTCTTGTTTTGATCTGCGTGTCCCAGTCCCTCCCCCCCCCAAAAAAAACCTTTCCTCCCGTTGTTGTTACGAAGGGGGAAATGTTTGGAGGAAGTGAAAAGAGGAAAACTTGCTAGCGGGGGCTTTGTCAGTTTGCTGGGAAGGGCCGCGACCCCGGCCAAGGCCCGGCAGCCCCGCGCGCCGGAGCAAGGCTCCCCCCTCCAAACGCCGCGCCGCGGCACAGAGGAGATCCTTTGAGCTGCAACGCGAGCCCTTCATTGCGATTATTATTGCAACAATTAAGGCAAATCGGAAACCATTACTATGTTAGAAAACTGCTTATAATCTGTTTACCTCGAATATGAGAGCTCCCGGGATAATTGGCTCTCCCTCCGTTAGAAAGAAAAGCGCCGCGCTGGCCAGAGAGGGAGCCTGGCCGGGCTGGAGCGGAAGAGCCAGCTCGCCCTTGCCCAGCTCCTCCAGACTGCCAACTTTTTCTTTTTTTAAAAAAAAAAGATCTCCAGCCCGAGGGTCTGGCTCCTCACAGAGATGGCCGCACCAAAGCCTCTCTGCCCCGAGGTGCGCCATGGGAGGAGCGGCCTGGCTAAACTTCTCCAGCCTCAGCCGGCACATTCCACTTCAAAGACCTTTCCGAGCGAAATCGGAGCATACGCCGGTCGGGCTTCCAGAGTAAGGGCGCTGCCTAGGCAGGCCGTTGCCTTGAGTGGCTGCGAGGCAAAGCAAGGCAACAGCTTTCGCTCAAGCCGGCAGTTCCGTTTCCTAAGCAAGGGGATCCCGGTGATTTCCTGTGCCACGCCGGCGAAGCTGCGTCTTACGCCCGCTGGCTCCGAAGGAGATTCCAGCAAATGTGCCAAGAAATAAACGCTGCTTCCCATCCCATTTCTATGGAAATACTCTTCCCCACCCACCATATTAGAGGTGAGGCGAGCCTTGGCTAACGACTTTAACAGTGCAATAAACTGAGTTACGTGGGTCTCCTCGGAAGTAAATCCCACCGAGTTCGGTGGGCTACTCTGTTAAAATGGGGACCGGATTGCAGCCCCAAGGAGGAGTAGAATATGGAAGGGAATTAATAAGAAGCCCAAACGAATCTCTGTATTCTGAGGATCAGTAATTCCTTTCCTCTTGGTAAATAGCAAAACCTTTGCTACAAATATTGCTGAAAGCGACCCTTCTCGGATCCGGATGCGGTAAAAGGAATTCCTCGCAGAAGAGGCTTTGCAGCTCAAAACGAAATTCGCCTACTTATTGAGTGCGTAACCCCGTTAATAACGTTATGCTCTCCTCTCCTTTTCTCCGGATTGCAAATGGGAGCATTTAAGGAGTACGGGGGAATCCAAAGAAAGGAAAGGATCTGATACCGAGTGATTTAAAAATTAAAACCCACCAAACCACTTAGGCACAGACTTGCAAACAAAATGGGCATCTGCATTATTGTCATTTTCACTGCAATTAAGTTCGTCTCCCAAGCAGATTCTAGTTAACGGGAGGCAGGGATTTCCCCCTTGAAAGCGCAAATGCAACTTGACACCGCTTTAATTCGGATCAAGCCTGATACACGTCTGATACAGCGCTTCAGGGGAAGACGAACAGCCCGGTTCCTTTCAAAGTAAGCGTGCGCGGTTAGGCTTCTGCTTCAAACCCCTGTAAGGAGCAGACCTCAAGGCAAGGCAGTGGATCAAAATGACTTTCTCCCTCCGGATTCCCTCCCCCTTTAAAAAAAAATCTTTTTCTTTTTTCTTTCTGGACGGTGCCCAGAAACGTCCTGAACCGGCGGGCGGACGCTTGGGGCGCTTGGGGCTTCTGCCAAAGCTTTCCAAGCAAGCTGCCATCTCGTCCCATATTTTTAGCCCTCTCAAGCGGAATACTTTGATCTTTTCAAATCTATATCTATCTATATATACGCACGGGGCTTCCCTGCGGCAGGGCAGCGCTCCAGCTTCCACCGAGAGCGCTGAAACTGATACCCGACAGACTAGCCGGAGGATCAAGGCAAAAATAGACCCCGGAGAGGGTTTGACAAAGACGCGGCCAAAACCCACCTCTAACCTGTCCTTGGCCGGCGAACTCGGGCTGAGCCACACAAGCCCCTCTCTCCTCCTATCCTAAGGATGGGGTGTCTGGACTTCTGAGGAGAGGGAACCTCAAAAAAAGAATGACTTTTTCTCCTGGACGCGGAGCGGATTGAATAAAGCCCTGGGACACAACGGGGGGAGAAGGGAATTTCCCACCATATCCCACCCCGTCAGTTTCACAGCTTCCCAAGTTATCCCCAGGCGCGCGCACTTTTTCTTCTTGTCGTGTACATTTATCCCCAAGTCCCAAGGCTTCCGATTCTGCTCGCAGACACCCCTCCGTCGATTTTAATCTTAAGAGTTTATACTGATTGTTTCCTTCCAGCCCCGTCTAACTTGAGCGAAGAGTGGCCAGGGGAGCCGCACCAGCTGACCTCGCTTTGCGCCCTGGGGACACGCGGAACCCCCAAGTTGGGCAGCTGCCCCTCCCCTCCCCAACCGCCTCGCCACCTACCTGGTGAAGACGTCCGGGTAGTGCGTCTTCTGGAAGGCCCTCTCGAGCTCCTCCAGCTGGTAGCTGGTGAAGGTGGTGCGGTAGCGGCGCTGCTTCCTCTTGAGCAGCCCCTCCTCGGAGTCGCTGCCGGCCGACAGGCACACGCTGTCCTCGCCGTCCTTGCCCTCCACCAGCTCGTCGACGGGCAGCAGCAGCTCCTCCTTGGGAGAGCAGCCGTCGGCGCCCTCCGTCCCCGGCGCCGCACCAGGTCCCCCGACGACGCCGACGGGGCCCCCAGCGGCCCGCCGGGCCTCCTTGGCCTCGGCCAGCAGCTCCTCGTCGTCCTCCAGCTCCTCGTCCAGCTCCTCGGCCTCTTCCTCGTCGTCGTCGTCGTCATCCTCGTCGTCCTCGTCGTCCAGCAACTCGTCGTCTCGGCCGGGCCTGCCGTCGAGGCCGCCGCCGCCGCCTCCTCCTCCTCCTCCGCTGGACAGCTCGTCGAGGGCGGCAGCGGCCCGCGGGAAGGGCGCGTTTTCCCGGTACGACTTGCTGCGGCTGATGCTGACCTGCGGCGCCTGGCTGATCTTGAGCGAGTCCCAGGACGAGGCGCCCGCCTCTACCCGCTCGGCCCTCGCCAGCAGCCGGCCCCCGCCGGGCCCGTAGAGGCGGCGCAGCTTGGGCGGCAGGTGCAACTCGGCAGCCTCGAAGCCCGCTGGGCTGCCCTTGGCCGGTCCTGCCGGGGAGACGAACACAGACAGACACGCACCCATCACCGACCCGGCCGGGCACGTTTCGCTGCCGCCCAGCCGGGGGACCCTCGGTCTGCATCTAGAAACGGGCCCCGGACTCGGAGCAAAGGGCAGACCGTGCGTGGGGGGCCCCGTGTAAATACACCCCCCCATTTAGCCCAGATGCTTTCAACTTTCTAGGCGGGCAGCTGCAATTATTTTTGCCAAACCAGGTCGAATCTCTCGACGTCTCCCTTTCCCGTCCCGAGACCAAAATCCTTCACAGAAAGCTCTATCAAAACCCACCCCTGTAGGAACTGTACGGAGAGATAAATTTGAGGATTGTGTCTGGACGAAAGCAAAAGCTAACTGTTCTCTGCATTAGTTTTTATTCCAACTACTTGACTTATTAACATTACTATTCTTTTAAGTGCATTCATTAAAAGTCCCCTTCCTCCAGCCGACAATCTGACACCTGTCGGCTTCGTCAAAAGCATTTCCAGCGGCTCTGCGGGCACTCGAAGATCCCCATGCATTGGAAGGCCGGAGAGAAAGAGGCTTAAAATATTTTAAAACTCTGTATATGCATGTTGGGGGGGGGTCGCTTTTTCTCTGTCCCCTCCAAACACATTCTACCCGGAGCCCCATTTCTTTACAACCGGGAGCCCCGCCAAAGGACGCCCTATCTATTCGCCCTCCCAAGCAGGCCTGGCAGCGGAAAGGCGCCGCCGAAGCAGCAACGGAAAAGACGCGCCAGGGACCTGCTGACTTGCCGCCGTTACTTATCTTCCTTCACCCCACCCTCTCCCAAAAAATAAGAGGAGAGCCGCATTTGGGGCACCACCTCCCTTCTCCCCAAGCAAGCTAAAGGCGATCCGGGCGTGCCTGGGATGCAGCTGGTGGTGGAAGGCAAGGCAAAAAAGAGACCCCAAGAGTGGCGGGGAAGCGGAGTTCCTCCCAGTCCGTTTCTGCCTCCTAACCTTCCTGATCGCCTGCATCTCAGACCCACGCGCCCATCCACGCCACTTGCAAGGGGGTCTCCGCGCTCTAGGCCCGCTCTCCGGGCGCAGGATTTCCGCGGAGCTCGCTGGAGCTGCCCGGAGAAGCGAAGTTGCCTGGCAGGCCCGCTCGCTCTTTCCTCTGCCCCCCTGGGCTGGGCTTACCTTGGCCGGCCTTGTCCTGCTCGATCCTGCCGGCCAGCGGCGCGAGGCTGGGCGCCGCTCCCAGCAGCCGCATCTTGCACGGGCTCCTCCGGCCCAGGATGCTGTCGATGCAGTAGGACGAGAGCAAAGTTGGCGATTTACTTTTGCATTCGGGCCTGTCGGAGCAGCTCTCCTCTTGGTATTGGTTGCTCATGGCTTGGGTTGGCTGGCCCCTCCCGCGCCGCCGCGCCTGGCCGGGCTCCGGGTGGCGGCGCGTGTGGGCTCCGAGCTCTGGGCTGGGCTGGCACCCCTCCCCCCACCAGGCAACGGCAGCAGCGCCGGCAAAGTCGCCCCTCTTCCTGCCCAGGACACTGGGAACAAGTGTAGCGCCTGAGCCGCAATAGCTTGGCTCTTGATTCCCTCTCCTCCACGTGCTGGGAGCCGCGCTCTGATTGGCTCTCTCCAGAGGCTGGGCAGCCTTCGGCTCCCAGCCAAGGGGAAAACGCGGTCCGGAATCCGGAGAGGGGAGGGGGCAGGGAACGGGAACGGGTTGCTTGACAAAAAGTTGGCAGGCTAACTTTCCCTGCCCAGACCTCGTCCTTGCTGGAGCTGAAGGACAGGAAGGGATTGGCGAAGGTCATCTCGTTCAACTCCTCTTCCTTGGAAAAGTTTCCTGCCAACTTGACACTTCCAGGGACGATGACCCCAAATAATTCAGACTCTACAGTCTTAACTATATTATATAGGGAACGGAGTCTTAACTATGTCATATATTCGTCCCGATCTTCCCAAATAACTTACTGTTCCATTCAAGAAACAGCCCTCCTCCCCTAATTTTGTTTTTGTTTTAAAAGTGGGTTGTTGGGCATTATTAAATTAGTGAGGGATTAACTGGATTAATTATTACTGCATTCCGTTAGTGCTGATCTTCATCAGTCAGCTCTATAATTTTTGATACAAGTGCTGCCTAAATAGAGCACAGAGCACTTCTGTCCTGAACTACTTGGAAGTAAATCCCACTATGTTCAATAAACCTTACAGTGTGTGTTTAGGATTGCAACATTAATACAGAACGTGTGTGGGAGTATCTGTACATCGAGTGTGTACACACACACGCATTCATTCATGTATAAAAATACAGATCTCTCTCTGTAGCTAGAGAGAAATATCAAAAACAAATGAGACTGTTTATCAGAAAAAGTTCGTTCACTAACAAATTGGTACAGATTAATTTGCAATGGTGGCCCGTGTGGAAACACATTTTGCGTACAAATTTCGATTTATCAAACGATTAAAGTGAATTGGTACAGAAAAGCCCATCAGCACGAGCGGGCACGATCATAAGGGAGTTTTCAAAAGGACCTAATAGACTTTCCTCGACCGATTCCTCGTTATTTATTCAATCTAGGGTCGTTGTTGCTTTGTTTGTTTGTTTGGCTGTTGCTGTTGTAGTGGATCCAGTATACCTTCAAATGCAAACCGACCAAGATCCCAGATGAATCCTGTATTTGCCTTCAGAGTGAAGACAGGTCTGTGGCAGATCAGGGATTTGACTGGAATGAAATGGGACCGGACGAGATCAAAAGGATTCTGAGTGGCTGGGACTGAGTCAAAGGCTGAAAGCCTCGCCTGAAACCGGGAAGGTTTGGCCGGCTGCGAATGCGATGGCATTAAACCCGGGACTATCCTCCAGCAGCCTCTCTCTTTTGAAACCAAGCGGGCTAAGGATGCTTTGATGCTTCCACTGGCACCGGCCTCCTCCAACAAGAGGATAAAAGTGCCAGGTATCTGATCCTTCCCAACGATGGTGGCCGTCCCTAAACCACCCTGATTTCTAGATCCATTTCATTGTCGTTGTTGCTACTTCAAACAAGTATTTTGTCAGGGAGAATTTTCCCCTAGTGTTAAAGCTCGTTCAAGACTGGGGAATAACCCCACGTTGGCATCAGTGGGCCTTCTTTGGTAGGCAGATGCGGATGTGTAACCGTCGGAGGACCGGGATCGGGGCCCAATACTGCCGTGTGCTCCGTTCTGCTGCTTCTGGAATACGAGATTCCCCACTGCTCTGCGAAGGCAGCGTGAACAGCGGAGGCAGAGCGAGGGAGCAAATAATGGTTAATTTAAAAAAAACAAAAAAACAAAAATCCCGGTTTTGGACAAGGGGAATACTCCAGGCCTGGTTTTCTTTCTGCTCAACTTTCCTCGTTTGAACGTGTCAAAGAAATTTACAAAGGCATCTACTTGAATCGCTTACACTGGGTATTTAAAAATACAAGGATTTATAATTGGGATCTCTCTCTCTCCCTCTGTCTCTCTCAAACTGTAATAAACATCTGGATAACTCTTTCAAATGCTAATGTGCCATCGACGTTCCGGAGCTGCCTTGGCAGAAGCGTTTCATCCGCCACTGGAGACGGAGGGAAAAAGGGGCTGGGAAGCGGAGCGGGGCGCCTGCTCCCGGAGGGGGGGGGGGAGCCTCCGCGCAGGAGGGTCGTCCCACAACGGGGCCCGGCTCTCGCAGCTCGCCTCGCCTCGCCTCCGTTGCTTTTGCCCCCGTCCCACTTCTCCTCACAGCGCGACACTTGCTGTAGAAAGGAGAAACCAAACAGGCTTTCCCTCTGCTTGAGACGACCCCCTCTTCTCTCGCCCTGGGAAAGGCAGAGTTTTAAGAAGACCACGAGGATGGGGAGCAGTTAAAAAAACACGAGACCGCCCTTCGTCTTAGTCTCTCGCCATCCTGGTCTTCCCACCCAAACGCACCCGAACAAAAAGCAATCAATGAATAAAATAAGGTTGACTTTACTGCTTCAAGACTGGGGTGGGAGAGGAGGTCTTTATTAGCAGGAATAGTGTTTATGTTTTTTAAGGAGCAGCAGCAACAATGCTGATGCGGATGATGATAATAATACCAACCACAAGAGCAGCAGCCACAATCGGAGTTAATCCCACCTGCCTTTCTCAAGTCTAGAGAACGAGGGCAAATGGGGGCGCGGAGAGGAGGGCTAAGTCAGAGGATGGGACTGGAAGAGCCAAATCCATCCGGAAGAGCCAAATCCATCCATCCGATCGCGACTTAGAGAGGGAATTTTATTGTTGTGGCCAACCCAAGAAACCAACCGAGGTGCCTGGCCACCTATTGGAAGGGCAGGGAAAGCCCCGACCGAGCAATTCCCGCAGCAGGTTGTGCCTCTCTCCGCCTGCGCCTCCACCAGCCCTGAAAGATGCCCCAACCAAGCCAGGCAGAGGAGCACTTATGCTGGTTGGCGTCGCCACTTTAGCTCCGATGCGACACCCTCCCTCTTTCCCTCCTCCTCTGTGTTGGGTTCGCCTTTTCCTTGGCACAAACCCTCCCGAGTGGTGTAGTGCTGTGTCGGAGAGGGAGAGGGAAAGTCCCGGCCTTCCCTCAAGCCCCGCTTTGCCCGGAGATGCTCTGTCCCACGGGGCGACTTCCAGGTCTCGTTTGGCTGGGCGACGGTGGGCACAACACGTCTTCTTGGCTCACAGCCACCCGCTTCTCCCCCTGAGTCTTAGGCAGACTGGGGAGAAATCGTGACCTCGCAACCTGGGGAGACTCGCTCCTCGGCTTTCACTCGCCCCTTTTATTCAGATGCGAAAGCTACTTGGAGGGAGGGACGCGAAAGTCCCTGCCAGGGGCTCTCCACAATGCCTTCAGCCTTTGAGCTCCTCCGAGGTCGATTTAAACAAATAAATTGCAGTTGAGCTGCAGGTCTGGGTAACCTTAAGCAGCGCTTCCACTCCCTTTTCGAAGGGAGCCTAAAACAAAAAAATAAGAACACCCAAGCAAAATATACCTCGCTCTGTTTGACCGTTTTTTAAGGAACCACGGTTGTAGTAAGAGAGCGAGAAAGCATAGCTGGAAAGTCGTGCGCTCTTCTCTTCCCAAGACCAACAAGGTTCTCAACTCAAATCAGCCAAACGACCGTGTGTGTGTGTTGGTACAAAACTGACGTCGTTTGCACCGGGTTTGCTCTCCGTAGAGACGAAGCAACCGTTTGCATGCCACTAATAAATGGATGGCTTTTCTGCGTAAGTAGGACTGGGTGTGGCACTTGATCTGGGATGTTTAAAGCGCCCCTCCACCCCAAATCTGTCTATGGGACTCTTGCTCCCTCTCCTCGGACCCATTTCTTCTTGGGGAAGGGTAGCTAAGCCCCATGACCCCTAGTGGGGTTTCCCTCCAAATCCTTCCCGGGCTTGGTTCCCGCCAGAAGGGCGAGCAAGCTTTTTGCCGCCCAGATCCTCTGTTCCCCATGCCTCCTCTCCCCACCCCACGCCTTGCCAACTTCGATGCCCCATCGGAACAAGCGGGGTCCAGTTGCCACTGGCCCTGGTCCCGGCGGCACAGAGGCCGAGGGGGATTCTTGCCTGCTGTCTCCACCACCGATCTCGCCTCCGCGCGCCTTTGCGTTTCCTTGGCTCTTTTTTTGTCTCTCCCCCTTCTCTCCTTAGCCTTTTAAATAAAAACAAACTTCCCTTCATTGATGGTCTCCCTTTCCCTGTTCCCTCCTGCAACCTGCTAATTTCACACCGGAGCGCCCTTGTTTCCGGGCTCGGGGGAAGCGAGGGAGAGAGAGAAAACAACAATAGTGCAATGATCCAAAATGATACAGTCGAATTATAGCAATTAGAGTTCTACTTGGAGGAGAAAACCTTGCTGAGATCAGCCAAACAAACGGATGCCTTGTAAGGATAACAAGTTTTGGGGGGTGACAGGCAGCGCTGAGAAAGGCAGCAGGGCGCCCGCCGGCAGGTTTCCTTCACCCCCCAGCTCCACTTTCCTCTTCCTTCCAATCTGCCGGGATTCACCTCATGGAATGGGGCTTCCCACTTCAGCTCCCCCCTAATATGCTCACAGGAGGCAGGGAAACGGGATCCCTTCTCTCCTCCTTTCCACCCTTCTTCTCTCCCACCCTCCTCTCCCGTTGTACGTGGCAGGGCGCCCCTGCTTCACCGCGAAAAGGCTGACAAACGAGGCGAACATCCGTGCGCCTCGCTCTCCTGCGGGGCCAGGATGTGTCCGGGCGGGCCGCGGAAAAGCAGCGGCGTGGAAAGCCAAGCCTCGGCTGGGCCCAAGCATGTCAGTCATACGCAATGGCATAGATTACCTTGCAAGTTGCAAGCCCAACTATGCATCCCCTATCCATCTAGCGACCGATCTCTCACTTCTATCGCAATGCGCTTCACAGCAAACGGATTCTGGGCTAGTGGGGGAGCCTTCGTGATTTCAATGCGGTTTTAGACAGGCCTCTCTTGTCGGATGGTGAGAAGAAGCGAGGCCTGAACTTTGAGTTAGGCAAGACCTCTCCACGGCTTCCCTCTGGAATAGGTTGGGTCGAAACCTGGGGGGCTTCCAGGGAAAGTTGG